CATAGTATTGAGAACCATGACTCAACCAGTAAAAAATTATATTGTATTTGAAAACGCAGACAAAAAAAAAAAAGAAATTGTGAAAAAATCATACCACCTCTACTGAATCATCGTCCAAACAGGCCTTTAAGTGCGCCATGACTAGTTTGATTCAAGATTGTCCCAAAACTTCTGGCTCTATACTAGCCATGAGTTTTGGATAATGTTATTTCATTTTAGACTAAAATACACAATTGGCTAAGTCAAATATGTCTCTCCCTATTATAACCATTTAGTGACTTTTCAAACCTTATACATGTGGTATTTGATATATATTTTTTTAATTACGAAGTATAAAAAATATGATTAAAAATTAGCACCAAGAGAATACTAACCCATGTACAAAATATTTGTATATCTACATGTGGTATTTGATGTTGCTTTGTAGTTGTTTTTTTTTTTCCTTTTTTGCCACATCGATGTATATAGAAGCTAAGTGAATGTACATATGGCGAAAATCCGAAGCATTTGTATTTTCTCCTTTTTTTTTTTAATTGACTGAAATACTCATTCTTTATGATTGAGAACCCGAATAGAAGCAGGAGAAAAAATTGAAGTACTGCAGAAAAATAGTCAGACACTTTTTTGCCATTTTTCGTTTAAGAAACTTGTTCAATCAACATTAAAGATTGAAAATAAAGGTTAGAATTAGTAAAATATAATCCCACAAGAGGTGTTTGTTTAAGTAGCAAAAAGACTATTTTTATATTTTACAAAGAGTCGTTAGTAAATAAATGAAAAAACTGGTTCTAAGCGTATATTTCAATTTACAATCCTTACATTGATGATGACCTCCACCTTAAAAATATCATGCTTTATATTAATCTTTACGGAAAATTTGACATACAAAGAATAATTAAGTGTATAAACAGATTTGGGTAAACTCTTAAAATTTAATTATACCTCTTCAAAGTTGGTTGTTAGAAATTGAAGTATTTTTACCGGAATATTTTGTGACTCCTCAAGCAATATAGTTGCAGTTGGAATGAGAAAAATACTTACACCTTCCTCAATTAAGATAACTGAAGTCCAAATCCTCTTATATGAAATAATATTAGCACATGATAAGGGATTCATTGATCTTATAAGGTAGTTGATACTTTATTTAAGAAAATTCTTAAAATATATAAAAACTTACGAAATTATAATTATAATTACAATATTATTGAACTTGAAGACTAAGGAATTACCTAAAGACAAATGCCTTGATATAATTTGGAATTACAGAATCCGAATTCTTCACACTCAAACTTCCCATCCTAATGATGGATTTCTGGAATGAAAATTCAAATAATAGCTTATAATTTATTTTTTAAAAATTAAAAGAAATAGAAAGAGAAATGGGCCACGGCCCTGCAAGACATCACGAAGCCGGCGAGCCTCTGAAAATCCATAGAAATGCTCACTGAAAAATGGTTTACCCGAACCCGAACCGAACCCATCGGATCGACTCCGCTTCCCAAAAAAAGAAAAAAGAAAAAACGTCTAAAAAGAGAGTTGAGTGAACATAGGTTTTAGAAGGGTTTAAAGGCGGCTACACCTTGAATCCCATTCTCCATTTCATGTCTGTACCTTGGGATTTCTTGATCCCCCATTAACACTCTCACTGCGTTTCTCTCTTCTGTATTTTTTTCGGTTGAACATTTCTTTGCCTATCTGAATTTCCTTTCTGTATCTGTAGTTTCTTAGAATATCCTGGGGAGGAAATTCTCCTTGTCCTTACCTTCAACTTACCTGATCAGCCCGAATTTGGCTTCTATGTTCTGCTTTATCAGTTAACCAAACGCCATTAGCTGAAAATGTGGAGGAACTTTGCAAAGCAAGCTTCTTCGAGGAAGATTAGAATTTCCTCAGAGTCATGCTCTTGCTTATCTGCTGCTTCTACCTCGAGCAAAATATCTCAAAGATGCAAACTTCTCGAGGAAATCAAACCTTCCGAAACCCAGACCTGGGCAAATTCTTCGTTTTCTGCCGCGGGTTTCCGCCGAATGAGCTTATTATCCCCGCAGAGTAGCAAACTGGGGATATTAAATTTTGTCCAGTGTAATAGCGCTTTTGGTATATCTGGGTCAATCAACAAAGTCAATGGCTACGCGAGTGTTGCAGAGGCAATAGTTTCAACGGACCCTGAAGAGGACTTCACGGGATCCGAAGAAGTCCAAGAAGAAATTAGCAAAGAAGAGAAGAATAAGATGGAATCTTACTTGAAGCAGCCGAAAAAAATGGTGGCCGGTATGGGGATAGCAAAATATAATGTTCTAAAGAAGAGGCAGATAAAGATGGAGACTGAGGCATGGGAAGAGGCAGCAAAGGAGTATCAGGAGCTCCTAGAGGACATGTGTGAGCAAAAGCTTGCACCCAATTTGCCTTATATGAAATCCTTGTTCCTTGGTTGGTTTGAGCCTCTGCGTGATGCCATTGCCGCAGAGCAAGAATCAATCAAGGATAAGAAGGTTAAGCCGCCCCATGCACCGTATTTCGAGCAATTACCTTCAGATATGATGGCGGTTATTACCATGCATAAGTTGATGGGGCTGTTGATGACGAACACTGGAGGAATCGGCAGTGTTAGGGTCGTCCAAGCAGCTTGCCAGATAGGTGAAGCCATCGAGCATGAGGTTCGTAAGCTTGTACTCCTTCATGTTTTTGCTTTCTTTCCAGTATTTTGGTCGCTTTAGTGAGCTTCAGTGTAGGATTAACTTTGTTTAGAAACATCAGAAACGAATTTAGGGAATTTATTGCATTCTATTAAGCAGATCATAATAAAACATGCTACTGTCTTAAGTTTCTCAGTATATACTGTATTACATTGTACTACAACTTATTAGGTGGCATATAAAACATTTTACTGCAGACTTATATTCAAATTTGATTTTATAATTGTATATTCTGTAAGTGATACCATTTGCGTTTACTAAACAAGGATGATATCTTTTCTCCTTATTTCTGTTCATCGAGGTCTGTAATCTTTAGGAAATCCGGAGTGCTGCCCCTCTTGTTTTGTTCTCCTGCAAAATTTATCCTTCCCATTTAGTTTTGAATGGCGTAAAATTTTAACTATTTTACAGCTACTGCCTTTTTGTGTTTGTTATCTGTCTAATTATTATTTCTTTGATTCTAGTAAGTAACTTGTATCTCAGAAATCATCTTTTTGTAAGTATTTGCATTTAGTAAACCAGTTGGAGTTTATTCATTCTTTGTGTCTTATTTGGTGTTTTCATAGGTACATTTATTTTTTGGAAATTTCAGCAATACCTTATATATTTATTACTTACAGATGTATGACCTATATATTTCTCGTTGAGAATAGGTTTGGAGAGTTAAATCTAAAATTTATAGTTACGTTTATTATCAGTCACCTTTCAGAATCAGTTTTGCACCCTTTCAAAAAGTAAGGAAGTTGCTATGTCATGCATGTCGAATGTAGAGTGATTCACTTCTGTTAATGGTTGAAAAGCAATGCTTTAGGAAAGGATTGCGTGCATATAGTGGTATTTTTTTTATAGTGATTTATTCAATTTGCAGGCAACTGGGAAGAAAGAAAGTATGTTTTTCTAGAAAGTCAGCTTTATTTGTGAAAGTCTGTTCTCCACACTTCTCAAGAAAAAAGTCTCTCCTGCACCATTATGTTTGGTACTTGGGCAGGCTTTTCCTGATTAAGATCAAATTTCTTCGTCCTACTTAAATTGAAAAAGGGGAATTCCTTTGTGATTAGCTTTCTGAAAAAATAACTCTCTTCTGCTGATTTCCCTGTGAATGTTAGCTTTCCTTCCTTGATCAAGATCTTGCCTGTTGAAACATTTTGCCCATCTTTATTTCCTAAAAGTTGGTCCTGAAGGCTGGGACTTCAAAACTTGGCTTATATACTTAAGCTGACCATATTGACAAAATACCATATGTCCTTTGGTTTTCAAAATCAGTCACCTATATTGTATTGTTTGATGGTTAGTGAGGGTTGCGAGAACATACTTGTTATAGATGTAGTATCTGGAATTGATTACTGTACCAAAGGGGTAGAAGTCAACTGTTCCATGTTGGTGAGAACTTACATGAACTATTCTGTATGTTGCTCAGGCCAGAATTCATAAGTTTTTGGACAAGACAAAGAAGAAGATGGCAACACAGAAAAAACTTGAAGGTGAATCTGAACCGGTAAACAGTGATCAAGGCAAGATGATTAAAGAGCAGGAAAGGCTGAGGAAGAAGGTTACTCAACTGATGAAAAAGCAAAAGGTGCAACAAGTAAGAGAAATAGTGAAGGGACATGATGATTCAAAGCCATGGGGTCAAGAAGTCCATGTCAAGGTTGGATTTTTTTGGTGTTGTAGATAGTAAGGTTTTTTCTTCTTCTTTTTCCTGTGTTAATCATGATACTATATCTTTGTACTGGTATTCCCAGGTCGGCTGCTATTTAATTAAGCTGTTGACTGAAACAGCCTATATTCAACCTCCTGTTGATCAGTTAGGTGGTGATCCGCCTGATATTAGGCCTGCCTTTGTACACACTCTTAAAACTGTCACGAAAGAAGCTCAGTATGAAAATCATCTCTATTTAACTTAACCAGGTTGACTCTTTGTCTGCGTCTCCTCTCCCCATTATTCTAATAAATACATATACATGTTGATGTCTTTCTGCAGGAAAGGCAGCAGGAGATATGGTGTCATTGAATGTGACCCTCTTGTTCTGAAAGGGCTTGAAAAAACGGTAATTAGAACACCTTTTAAACATATAGTCCACATAGTTTCAAGTTGAATGGTCTATTGCCCACCTCCCGCATACATGGAGATATCTGAGGTGTAAGGATCTTGCTAATCTCAGTTTGTTTAAACAGGCTCGACACATGGTCATTCCTTACATGCCAATGCTAGTGCCTCCTCTAAGCTGGACAGGGTATGGCGTTAATGTTTTATGTTTATACATTCCAGTTTTCCAACTATATTAGGTTCTTTGCTATTTTAATTTATGGATCAGATTGGTACACATGCATGCCATCAACTTGGTAAGCAGTGAATTATGCTATGTTTCTCTTGTTCTTCTAAAAAAAATCTTGGAGCAGATTGCATTTAACTTTTGACATATTGGATTGTTAAAGAATCACAAAGGAAATTTATGTTGTTTTCTTTTTCTTTTTATATGAATTGTGTCCATCATAGTCACTATGTATATACTCCATGAACTTGCATCACATTGCATTCATAATTCCATGAGTTATCTATGTTTCCTTTTTTGTTGGAAAAGTTACAAATATCGGTATATGCTTTCCAAATAATCTCAATATAACACGCCCTACTTCTAATTAGACATTTTATAAATTTGCATTTGGAATTTTCTCAATTAACACAGTTCTTTTAATATAGACGTTTCATAACTAGGACATGTAACTCTGCTGCAAATTGAATATTTGCAAAAGATTAGTATGTAAGGAAAAACTACAATTTTGTCCCTTGTGATTTGGTTTTAGTGCAATTTAAATTTTATGATTTTTCTGTGACAATTCAGTACATGTGGTTTGTATTTTTTTTTTTTCATTTTCCTAAAGTAATTAGTTTCTACAGTTATTATTTTATAATTTTATGTTTTTTTTTTTAATTTTGATTGGATTAGCCTTGAATTTCCATATGTTTGTGTTTTTAAATCCAAATACTTACAAATTACTTTTAGAAAGTAATGATTTTACATAAAATGATAGATAATTAGACCACAGAGACTAAACTTTAAAATTGGACCACACAGACTAAATTTAAAAAAAAAAAAACAAGTATGAACTATCATAAGTTCAAACCATATGAGTTCTTGAAATTTAATGTGAATACATAATGTTGCACATGCAACATTATTTTTTATATTTTTCAGAAAAAAAAATAATGTTGCATGTGAACAGAATACTTTTGAATAAAAGTGGTATTTTATCTAGATTTAGTAATAATTATTTCTTAAAGAATCCAAAGATCTCTATAGATTGATCATTCTTCTATTTCAAAAAAAAGAAAAGAAAAAAGGATCAATCATTCTTCAAAAATCTCCCAGTCTTCATAGTTTCCTTGAAGTCTCTTAGCTTTCATTCTTTGCACCAAGAAGGCTAAAACAAAAAAAGAAAGAGAGAAGAGGGATTAATTAAACAAACAAAAGTGGATGAATATTTGACATTTTTCAGGTAAGAAAGGGAGATTTGTGCGGCAGCCACATGGCAACCTATTAATGCATTCTCTCTTTTTCCTCTCTATTTTTTAATTTAAAGAAAAGGAAAGGGAGGGCGATTTGGGAATTTTTGGGAAAGAAGAGATAGATAATGGGATTTGAGAATTTTGTAACAATATTTATTGCCTTTGGTGTTGTGGAAATTATCCTTTTTACCCTTGAAGGTACTTTTCACATGCAATATATTTGTATACATCTAAAAATTAATGTTTAAATTTCGGTAGGGGGGTTTATTTGCTACATGTATAAAGTTTAGGGTGAAAATTATCTCAAACTAAAAAGTATTAGTGTTAACTGATCCATCCAAAATGGAATGTACTTTTTCACATGCAATACATT